GGCGCGGTGGGTGGGGTGAGGGGTTGTCGCCCCGCGGGGACGCCTGCCCAGCAGGGGGTCACGGCCCACGATGGCAAAACAAAGGTACGCTGAAGTACTGCATCAGTAACAAAGCAAGGGTGGGTGATCCGCGCCGTCTGTTTTTCCTGCTTATACTGTACCGGATTCATGCGTGCGGACGGGTAGCATACTCGCACGGTACCATAAAGAGCCGTTGGCAGCAAGGATAGGCATATACCAGCCCGCACACGTGCATGCGGTACAGTATTACTACCAAAGTGCACAGTTTGAGTCAGCCACCTGGTGTGCTTTGTGGACTTCGCTCCACATCACATAATGGCCAGCAACCTGACGGGGACGGCGACACCCGCCCTCAGGTCGCCGTACAGCCTGGGGGGCTGCTTCTGCACGAGGCGCTCGGCGCGGGCCCCGCGAGCGGCCAGTCAGGGCGAGAACAAAGGAGTTGAGCGGAGCGGGCCGGGGGCGCCTGGCCCTCGGCCTGGCCTGATGCAGGATGTAGGTCACTGTACTGTGCGTGTCGGGGGCGGGGGAGGCGGACGGCGCCGGCCAGCGCTTGTTGTTTGTGGGGTTGGCGCGGCGGCCGAGGGTGGCCCGCACCCATCTCGGGCCGAGGGGCGCTCGAGGCGCGCTCGGGACCCGCACCCCGCCCCGAGGCTAGGCCAGGCGGCGCCCGAGCCCGGGCCGAGCGCCCCCCAGCTCCAAGCACCGCTGGATGTCCGGCTACTCGTGCCGCGGCGGGACGCGGCGCGGTGACCGCCGGGCTTGGCCCCCGCGGGACACCACCGCGGGCTGCACGCGGTTTTATGGCCGGGAGGCTCAATTAGAGACGAGGCGTCGTGCTGGGCCAAGGCGCGGCGGGGCCGGCCGGGGCGGAGCGGGGCGGCGCGAGTCACATGGTACATGACATCTGCATGCAGCCTCAGGCCCTCGCGGGCGCGGAGGAGTGGGACGGCGCCCCAACTCATGCCCGCCCCCGCCTGGCCCGGCCGCGGGTGGTGGTGGGGTCCTTTACCGGCCTAATTCGATAACCACACGACGCCCACACTCAGTGCAGGGTCCATAGGCAGCCTCTCCCTTCGTCTCTCTTTGTCACACACGCGGAGTGGTGCGCAGCGCGTATAGCCCTACCGCCAGCCCCTTGGCGCCACGAAGGCCGCGAGGGGGAGCGGGGGCGCGCCGAATGGCGCCTCACGTCCAGCACTTCCTCTCCCCCTCCCCCTTCCCCTTTGAGTTCCACCCCTTGCACTCCGCAAGGCCCTCTCTAGTCCACGGCCTATATCCCTGCCTCTAGAATGGAATGGGCGAGGGGAGAAGCGACGCCAGTTAGATTTAGTGCCCGCGAGAAACACATGCGCCCCCCCTCCCCACCCCAACCGCACACATACCCCCGCGCAGCACCCCCGACTCGTCAGTGAAGAATGAATGTGATGGTGCGGGTATGGGCCTGGCGCTTCAGGCTTCGAGTCGCAGCACTATCTGCGGCTGGGAGGGGGGAGAGCGGGAGGAAGAAGAAAGAGGATGGGAATGTAATTACTCCAATAAGCTGGACAGACGACCCCACCGCCGAGCCCATCGGAAGCGGGGCAGCGGTAGGCGTCCGGAAAGAGCTGGCGACACTAGGGCGGCCCATGTGCTTTCCGTTATCC